TAATTTTATGGGGCTACGAGAAAACAAAAATAATGACTTGATTCTACAATTCTTCTCTTCCGTGTCAGTCTCCTCTGCCATTCATGAGAGTACCATGATGCATAAAATGAGAAATGTTGCCTTGGCAATTAGCTGACATAGTTTTTTTTTGGTTTTATGGTTTTAGTTCACTATAATAACCCTGGTATGATCAGTAACTCACTGTGAGTATGTGAGACAACAGACACTTAAATGTCAGCTGTATCGCAGCACCATATTAATGAAGGCATTATGTCTTATTTCAAGGTTCACATGTGCAGAGCAAAAGTGTCGTCCCGCTCTTGTCTCTTTTACAACAATGTTGATGGTATGAGACTCACCTTGGTGACATTTCAATAGATATTTGTGATTTTTCACAAATTTCTTATAAACAGAAATTGTTGACTGTTTCTTTTTGATTTTTTGTTCTTTTTAGAGAAAAGCACTGACAAAGAAATCATGAATTCTATCCTGGATGTGGAGGATCTTGTAAAAACAGGCAAAAAGCAAAGGTGAGACACTGCATGCTGTTTCATGGCCTTCACCACAGCACTGAAAGAATTAGTGGCGTTTAAAACTATTTTTAAATTTGCAGATGTTTCCAATGTGAGTCTTTTGGTTTTGATCAGATTGTTTGTTCCCGTAGAGTTTGTCCATACTACCTGTCACGCACACTTAAACAACACGCTGACGTCATCTTCATGCCATACAACTACCTGCTTGATCCGAAGGTGAGGCATTTATCCTGACAATATCAATACACTACTATTAAAAAAAAATCATGATTTTTGTTTTATATTTTTGAAAGAAGTCTCTTATAACCAAGGCTGCATTTATTTGATTGAATTATTCTCTGTTTTTATTTTATGTGTATTCTTCTGGGATAGACATGTTTGATTTTATTCTAAATTCAGATTTTTGCTGATTCACAGAGTCGAAGAGCACACAACATAGAGCTTAAAGGAGCTGTGGTTATTTTTGATGAGGCTCATAATGTTGTAAGTATCTTGATGTCATTTGAAACCTCATAATCATTCAGAAAATGAAATTATGCAGTTCTTGTGTTTTATGTATTGATGATCTGTTTGTGAATGTTTGTCTACATTTTTAGGAGAAGATGTGTGAAGAGTCCACCTCATTTGACCTCACCCCTTACGACCTGATTTCTGCCATTGAGGCCGCGGATCGACTGCTGCGGGAACAGGCCTCAGACATCAGCAAAGCAGATTCTACTGAAGATTTTAATGTTGAATCGCTGAACTCTGGTTAGTTTACATTTGTCAAGATTTTTTAGATTTAAGATATTTATTAATATTTAATACATTTATTTAAAACTTAAAATATTGTTTTATATATATTATATATATATATATTTATATATATATATATAT